TAGAATTGAACTACTCAATCTCTGTGGGATGATATTCGGACTTTTAAAAATTCACTTTATTACTTATTATGATCCATACACTTGCGGTAGTTTTAAATCGAAAAAAATATTTCGTGAACAACAATCTCACGGCCTGAAACTTCATTCTTTACCAATCTTTTGAGCCAATTCATGCTTATTACTCGAGAATCATATTAGCAAGATACACTCCTTTTACTTCGTTATCAGAAAACTGCTCTTGGCTATGGCTTGTTTTTCTCCTCCATATCCAGCTTTTCAGTTATTTGCTTACTTTGATTCAGGTTGGCCAGTTGTCCTGTTAATCGATGGTCTGCTACTATGTTTTTCATTAAACTTGGCAATAGTCTTATTTCTTAAATAAAGAAACAGACTAATGTGTCTGATTCCTCTTCAAAAGCTAAGTACTGTGTAATGGCTAACACTTCTTGTGAACACACATGACACATGGTTACACTCTCTTCTTCGTGATCTCACCATCTCCCACCCTAATCTAGCACTGTTCCACTGTGACAGTTAGGCTACAACCCACATCGCAAGCAATCCTATTTTCAATGAACGAAACCAAGCACATTGAGATAGATTTGGCTCGTGACTTCATTTGAGTTGATCTTCTCACCAAGCGTTTGGGTCGAAAATTGTTCACTTTTCTCTGTACGAATTGGGCATTGTAGATCTCCATTTATTCCAACTTGAGGGAGAGTATTAGCCTGGGCACATTATTGAACCATTCAAGCTACCAAGACATATAATTTAATCAGCACAAATTACATGATTCAAGATACCAGAACATGTAATTGCACCAATCAAGCCCCACCATCATGTAATCAATCTTTCCATGTATAGCAGTATTTCTGTTCTACGTATATGCAGTAATCCTCATTTAAAGATATACAATCATTGAGAAATCATAGCCACATACAAGAATGTTTGTCTTTATGCTATTTCTTATAAAGAAAAATTGTTTAAAAAGTAAAGTTGATAAGACTTGTTTGATGAGAAAATTCGAAACGTACTGAAAAACTAGCCTGGTTATCGGTTAAAACTATATTATTAGAAAGAGAAAATTACTTAAAATGTCCATTTGCAAAAATGTCCACTTTTACAAATGCTTGAAAAAAGTCCATTTTGGAATATTTTGGACCAAAATACCCCTGTGAATAATTTATGATTCCGCACAAAGATAAGAAATTGACATTTTTGTAAAAATTTTATTGGCCAATAAACTTTTGACACAACCTGCCATATTTATTTCAAAAGTGCACATGTCAAATTACAATTAATGCTATTTTTCTCATTGATAGAAAAATGTCGAGAATTATATTTCAAGTGTAAAGAAATGTCATGTTCGGAATGAAATGTCATTCTAGATATTTAAAATGTTGAGAACATTTAATATTATAATTTGGCATGTACTTTTAAAAATCTAAACGAGATTCAAATATCGAGAATGACATTTGAAATGTTGATAACATCAGTTTAATGTTAACTTCTCATGGAAGCTACTTCTCGAAATCCATAAATAAATTGCTTTTTTTTTCATTAAGGGCATAATAGACAATTTGGTACTAAATTTAAAAAGTGAACATTTTTCAATTGACTCCCATGAAATTAGAAATTTTTGAAAATACCCCTATTAGAAATAGAGGAAAAACCAGTCAATTGGCGGCCAAAATGGAAACATTAGACGGGGTACCAAATTTTTTGATTTTCCCATCTTGTAATGGTTTTTTCAAAAAAGGTATATTTTCAAAAAAAAAAAAATTGAAAAAAAAAATGAAATCGAATTTTGGTAGTGATGGAAACTTGGAGTGAAAAATAAACATGAATAAATGTGTGTTCACTAGACTATGACTAACAGAGAAATTCGAATGTCATTGGTAAAAAATGACGTCAGCTTTTTTTTTTTTGTTGAAATTAGAGTTATGATGCACTGTGTATACTTTGTTTGATCTAAGTGGGTATTTCAAGAAAAATTAAATTTGACTAAAGTTTAGTAAATTATAGTTCTTTTTCCTTTATTAACTTATGGTAGTTCTTATTCCAACTCAGCGTGACCTCTTGATGTTGAATCCTTTATCTTCTTCTGTTTAATGTGAGAGTCGATTTTAAAAGTAAAGATTATAGCTCAAAATTAGTAATTGAAGATATTAACATTGTCGGTAACATTATAACTCTTGTTCTCAATGAAAGACAAGGGTATTTTTTTTAACTAATGTCTTCAACTCTATGACATGTTGCTAGTTGTTATGGTAGATGAGATGTTACTATTAGCAATGTAGACATCAAAAAATAAATGAATAAAAAATTAAAAAGACCGGGTCAATTCATAATTATTAGCACATTTAAGTTTACAAAACAAAACAAAAACAAAAAACAAAAAACAAAAAAAAAAAAAAAAAAAAAAAAAAAACACAAAAAATTCTTTTTTAAAAAAAAAAAAAAAAAAAAAAAAAAAAAAAAAAAAAAAAAAAAAAAAACAAAAAAAAAAACCTTAAAATGTCTATTTAGAAAGAAGTCTTTAATTGAAAACAAGTCCTTTTTGAGCTCTCTAAATTAAATTTCTTGCAAATAAATAGTTCAATGTTACAAAATATCTCTATAATTGGGACCTAAGGTTCAAGAGTAGTAATATTAAGTGAAACTGCAAGACAAAAACACACGAGTCAAGGAGAAAGAAGATCACCGCAAATTCCAAATTCTGGAGAAAGAAAAAAGAAAATCCCTCAAGTTCATGTTTGAAAAATTTGAAGAAGATCAAAGTCTTTCTTAAATTCAAGCAAGTTCAAGTAAAACCTAAAAGATCAAAATTTTCTTCAAATAAATGAAAATTCAAATCCAAGTCTTGAATTTCAAGTCTAAGAATCAATTAAGTCAACTTCTCAACAAAATAAATTTCCTACAAGACTTGAAGTCTAAGGTTTAAGTCGTCTGGACAATCATCTTCAAATACTCGAATCTTCAATCAAATCATCGTGCAATTTTGCAATCGCAAAAGGATCAACCTACCGTGTATTTCACAAAAATCAATTTGTAACAATTTCTGCACTTTTATTCGCGAACTTCTCTGTACAAATTTCTTTGTATGCCCAATGGGACTTTCCTATCCAGTCATCTTTCGGTCTCATAAAATCTTCAATTTTGATTGTGCAAATTCCCTCGTTTAGGCTTTCATTTATGCCTTTTTTCCTTTATTGGTAAATTTTGTTTTGGTTGTATCTCGATCGACTTAAATCGAATTTGAATTTGGTTTGTTGGAGGATAATTCTTAATATTAGGACTTTCAATTTTAGTCATTATCTTAATTTTTTCCATTTTTCGAAAAAAAATCTTTTTTTATTATTTTTTTAAATTTTTCTGAAATTTCCTCAGATTTTCGCTATATAAAGCATTGTAAGCACTTTGTAACCGCATAGATTGACAGAAATAAAATTTTTCGTGAGTTTTTTCATCTTGTAAGATTTATTCATCTTTCCTATAATCTTCCGCAACGTCAATGCCCCAAAAGGATCAAATGATGAAAAAAGAAGTCAAAAGATAAATGGTAACTACATATTGCCAAATGGATCTAATTTTAAATAAATAAATAAATTCTTTGTCACTTTCCACTTGGAATAAAATGGAAATGATTGAGACATATGAACATTGGAGATAGACTTGAGGAGTTGAAAGGGGGAGAAAAAATAGGACAAATATACATTTTTCTTTTTTTTTTTTCCCGCATATTAGCCGGGTTTAAAATTTTGTAGTCCGATCTTGAATTCAATCCTGGATCCGTTTCTAATGAAAGAGCCTATTTCCAAAACACCGATCTTTATAATTAATTCTGGTAAGTTCTCTCTCTCTATATGGGGTTTGTTCACGGAAAGTAGAGTGATATATGTCTTCTTCGCAGGAAAGAAAAGTTCAACTCTTCGAGCAGAATACTTACTCTGTTGTCAAAATATTTGATGTAACTTTGCAGCCTCAATGTAAGATTATGGATAAATGTTCTTATTTTGTACGTAATCATCATTCCTAAATGATTGGAATTAAATGATCTTCTGATTTGGATGTTCTCTATAATTATTCAACGTATTTTGCGTATAGTGCAATAATTGTTTTATTTATTAAAAAAAAACCTTATTATTGAAGATAATGAAGTGCTGCATGCTGGGCCGGGGGCAGGGACGGATCCAGGATTGGATTCGAGACCGAGCTATAAAATTTCAAATCGGACTATTACGTGGAAAAAAAATTTACACATAAAAAACTGATTTTTTACCATTTAGAAAAAATTTGTTGGGCCTGAGGGGGGGGGGGGGGCCCACCCCCCCCGAAAGAGAATTTTGATTTCTCTGCATGTATTCTGCCCCCCCCCCCCCACCAAATCCGTCCCTGGCGGGGGATTTATGATGAAGATGAAATACTTCGATTTCCCCTCAATTCCATGGTTGAAAATGTGCGGACAGATTATCTCAATCCCGTAGTTGATTACATGCACACCATTCATTTGCTTAGTTGATTTTTATTTCCTTTACTTGGCTTTTACTCCCCCTAATTGTTTTTCCTTCCTTTAAGCATTTGTTCTTACCATATTAAGCACCTTAGACTGCTTCTATTTAATTGGTATAATTTATCATTTTAAACAGTTGTCTTTGAAAGGAAATAAACGTCATTGAGAGAATTTTTCAATTTTATGTAGATTGTTCAATATTTACACTTGAATTAATGAAATTTTTATTACTAAATTCTTGGTATTCGTAGAATCAATGGCTCTTCAAAGGTGTTCTTCGTTTCTTATGCTCCCCCATCTTGGGTAAAATGAAAGGTTGGTGGTATTTTTTAAATTTCGTTATTCTTATCTTCGCGCACATCACTCTAACAAAACCACGTGTAATGCACATGCCCTTAACTAGTACTACAAACAACTGGACATAAAGAAGACAACTTTAATATTTCATTTAAATGCACATAGCTGGTCTCTTCTGAAAAAAAATCACTAGAAAACAATCCATTATTATTATTATTTTTTAAGTACAATTAGAGCTTCGGCGTGGTTTTTAAACCTCCTCCAAAGCACAACGGGGAGGTTTGATAGTATCCCTACGATCTCTATAGATAAAAGGATGGATTACACAGAGAGGGACGTGGCGTCTCACGTCATAGCTTACAACGAGAGGGAGAGAAGAATTATAGAAGACACTATAAACGAGGATGTTCTACTTCATTTACATTAAAAATGATTTTTCCTCAATATACCTAAGAATACTCGTGAAAAATTTAGAGAAAAGCCTCTCTGCCAGAATTTTTTTGACAGAGGATTTGACACGTGAATAAACAATTGGGATGAAGAAGTGGAACCGCCCTCAAATGTGAGAGTAGGTCAGGGCTTCTGTCATCCTCCCTTTTGGTAGTGTAGCTCGGTTCAAAAATTTAATCACTATTTTGGTAAAGCACAAGAACACAGTTGTTTGACAATAATGGCTTATTTTCTTATTTTTAGAGAGTGATACTATACCCAATGGAGGCTCACAATTTTAATCCTGTTCCACTGAACTTTTGTTCGGTAATCTGATCCAATTTCTGTGCCATCTCAGTTGGCAGATGATTCTTCCAATCTCCAACCTCGCCTCGACGGAAAAATGCTTTGTTTTCCTCACCAGATGCCAGCCTCCCAGTCCTGTTGATTTCCAGGTTGCTCAAAGTATCGAAGCTACATAGCTTTAAGATTTGTTCCACAATTCCCGATTCTTCTTCCTCATTGGAAAATGGACACCCCAAGAACTCAGCAATGCATCTAAGATTATCCGCTGGGCGTTCTTTCATATTCTCATACTTTAAGAAGAAAACCTGTTGAAAGCAATACATAAATGAATAATTTGTCTATTTCCTCAGTGTAAACTTTTAGATGAAGAAGTTAAACGTGACAACAGATTATGAATTCAAAATCTCGCTATCACTCATTTAATGAATAAGGCCTCGAGTGATTAAAAGGAAGCAAACCGCAAATAGGTGTCAGTTGAAAACAATGTAAATGAATAAATTTGCCTTTCAAAGTGGTTCAATAATACCTTATGAGGCTTCTCCATGCTTTCTTTCCAATATTCTAACACATGGTCCCAAAAAGGTCCGTAAATATTCACTCCTCTACAGAACATATCAAAGGTCTCTCCAAGTGAATTACTTCCCATTTCTTGAAGCCTTAACTTGTTAGTGAATTGCCAAAGGGACACAAAAATGTCCTTCGGGTTCCTACATAGATAAACAAGCTTGCATGAAGAATCTCGCACGAATTTCGGAAGGGAAAAAATCGGTATATGAGTTGCAAACAGCCTGGGGGACTTAAAGGAGGAAAGATCAGGGATTTGATTATCAGCATAGAGTTTAATTTCCAAGAATGGAACAAGGTCATGTGGATTTTTGCTGAGTAAAGGGTGTTCTTGATTAATGGGATACTGCATCCGATTTATTAACGTAAACATTACTGCCTTCAGCCAGGTCGTCCCAGATTTCGGAGTTGTAACAAGGAAAACATCAGAATCTCGAGCCTCGAAATGCTCTTGACAGGTCATGATCCCTTGAATGTGCCTCGGTGGATTCCAAAAACCTTGGTATTTGTACAGATGAGAGGCAACCCATCCTTTTTCTTTGGGTAGAGAGGAGATTAAGGCTATACATTCTTGTTCGAGGATTTCTTCCTGCTGTAAATACCTGGGAAGTGATGCAGAAGTTTGAGAGAGCATAATTCTGGAGAGGAACTATTCCTCACATGCACTACAAAAGCCCTTCAGCTAAAAAGGCAGAATAATACTAAGAAGCTACCAAGCAAATCCAAATTATGAATTCAAAATTCGAAACAACGCAAACCAAATAGGATCTAAGATTTTAGATAAATTGGTTCAATATGACATAACCATGTTTATACCTTTGATGAAAATATTATGGAAAAGTGTGTGGAGGTTTTGTAGAATAAGAAATGCTATCTGTATGACAAATAAATGTTTGCTTAATTTGTGACAGGTTTTTTAGATATGGTAGTCTACTAAAAATGATTCTACTCAAATTTACAAAATAAAATATTTTGTAATATATTCGATGATATCTTGGAAAAATGGGGAATCCAATGTCATTTCTCTCATTTTCAAGTTATAATTACTTGCTAAAGTTGATCGTGATGATAAAATGGTACTGCTTTTCAAAACTGGTCAAAAAGATAAGTAATAATTAACAGATGCTTTTTATGACTATTTGAGCATTTTTCCTGCTTAATCAGTAATTTGTTATAGGTTTTACTTTCTGTTTAAGAAAAGGTTAAAGGTAACTGGTAACCCCATGTTGAAGAACTACAATTTCAATTCTCACGTAATTATTAAGGGATAAAATCTCATATCAAAATAAAGATGAAAATTAGATCAATTTATAAGGATTTAAATTACTTCCCTTAATAATGTTGACCTAAAATGGAACCACAAGTCATAGTCTAGTATCATAGACTAATTTGTAAGGATTTGAACTACTCATCTTAATAAGGTTGACCTTTTAAAAATGAACATCAAATATTAATACAGTCTCAAAACCTGTTAAACTCCAACAAGTAATTTGATCCGATTAAAACTCAAAAAAATGAGTATGCGAATTTCAATATTGATCTGCTCAAACGAGTCACAATCTTGCGGAGTATGTTAAGGGATAAATCTCATATCGGTTAAATACCGAAATATAGACTAACATATAAGGCTTTGAGTGTGTGCCTATGCTTGGCTTCCATTATTTTAATAATTCATTGTTTCAAAACACATTTTCAACCACACACTTTAAGAGTAATGCTCCTCTACTAAATTTGTAAAAAGCTTGGTAGAGGAGCTCTTCTCCCATTTTCTTTCACTTCGACGGGCTCCATGATTAAAAAAAATATCCCCCAAAAACCCATTCCCACCCCGAACTGTGAGAGGGGCTGCACTACCAGACCTCTTACAGGTCTGGTAGTGTAGAGGTCTGGTAGTGTAGCATGGTCCACACTTTAATAATTCATTTGTGTTATTAAAATGCATTTAGTTACTTATTGGGTTTTGTGTCAGGGATTGTACAGGGAAAAGGTTTGGATGACAACTATGGGCTATGTATTGATATATTGGAAGTTGGACATTCCTCGATTGTTGTTTTGATTAAGATTTTGATAGTTGTTTCTCACTTTTTAAAATTTTGTTACTTTTTTGAATTTTTATCACTTTCAAAAAGGTTGAACCCCAACCTTGAGGATCCCCCATCGCCCCTACCCTGGAGCATCGTGAGGGAGGTAAATCGCAGGTTATGCCTCCAATGATACAGGGTAGAAGGCTGCTTGTACACTTGCACTTACCCAAGAACCAAATCTATATTTCAAAATTCGAACCCTTGACGCGGCAGACTCAAGTAAAGTTGGATTTCTCCACTCTCCCCTTTTACCACTTGGAGATGTGCCCTGGGAGCAAATATTTTTTTTTTTTTTTTTTTTTTTTTTTTTTTATCACTTTCAACTTATAGAGTGTTATGTTATTAAAATGAAGTTATGTTGTGCCTATGCTTGGCTACCATTTTTTTATAATTCATTGTTTCAAAACACATTTTTAACCATACATTTTGTTACTTTTTTTTTGGTACTTTTGAGTGTTTTTCACTTTTTTTAATTTCCGTCACTTCTTTTAGTTCTTGTCATTTTTTTTTTTTAAATTTTCTACCATATTCTTTTATTGTCCGTTATTTTTTTGAGTTTTTGTCACTTTTTTATATAAAAAATAAAAGTGACATACATTAAAAAGTGTCTCAACTTTAAAAGATGAAGTTTAGTATTTAGTTGGTAGACTGTCTCTGTTTAATAAAAAAAAAAAAAAATGGCACAGTCACTTTTTGAATATTTGTCTCTTTTCTTAATTTGTGTCACATTTTTTTATTGTTCATCACTTTTTTTACTAGTTTTTTACCATTTTCTTATATATTTTTTTCACTTTTTTTGAATTAAAAACATCAATTTTTAATAAAAATATGTTATTTTTTTATTCACTTTTAATAAAAAAAGTGACAATTAATTTTAAAAGGTGACATTGTATGCCACTTTAAAATAAAAAGTAATACCTAACTTTACAAAGAATTTTTTACTTCCAAAATACTTTTTATATGATTTTTCTAAATACATCTTCTTTTAGGGTATTTTTGTAAGTTGCCGAAGTTTTAATATGGCATCAGAGTCCATTAAACTCAAATGAGCAATTTCATTTGATTAAAACTCTAAAAAAAAAATAAAAAAAATAATAATAATAATAACAACACTTGAATTTAAAGATTGGTTTACTAAAGAAAAAAATCACCATCTTTCAGAGACATGTTAAGGGATAAAATCTCACATAGGCCAATATGTAAGAGTTTGGACTCTTTATCTTAATAAGACTAATATTTTAAGATGGAATCACAAGTCTTAATATTAATAGTAAAATACTAATTGAGAATTTTTTCAATTATTCAGTAATTTGTTCTAGGCATACTCTTTGTTTCAGAAAACGTTACGCTGACCCTATGTTGATTGAAGAACAGCAATCTCAAGTCTCACGGGATATCTACACTAAAATACAAACTTTGTTCTCAGGACTGTTTATTTGGTAGACTTTGCCAAGCTTGGCCTATTTTACAACTCGTAATCGTCTGCACCTCTCTGTGCAAAATTAGTGAAAAAAATTGCCTTAAACTGCTTTGATCTCTTAATCTTAATTAGCAAAGGCTAAAAGGATGCTAATTAATTGCACCAGACCTCAAATTTAAAACAGTAATTTATCATCTTCACAACAGGTGAAATAAAAAGCGTCGACGAATAGATATGGATAATATCTTTTCACATGCACCATATAAAGCAGATGAATTTTGATATTTGTACATCGAGGTTGACTGACTCCCTCATAACAGAGGGGCCCAAGACGAATAAAAAAATAGTGGGCCCCTTACTGTGAGGAAGTCGGTCAACTTTGATGTACAAATAGTAAGATTCAAAGTAGATTTCAGTTTATCATAAAAGAAACTGCAACTTGTAAGAAATAAATATTGCAATACGATTCTTGATACGCTGTTTAGTGTGAATTTGCTTTTAAAATTATGGCAAAAATTCTCTCACGGGCTCTGAAGAAGCTTCATTTTCACTTACTAAACCATGAGCCTATTTGGGCTCGATTTTTTCACCCAAAAAATTAATTTTATGACCGTTATTTCATTATTCCAACCTTCATATTTGACTTTTTCTCTCACAGATGAATTTCACTTTTTTTCTAACGAACAAAAAATCAATTCTCAAAATTACTCTCAAACAGACTCCATTATAGAAATCCCGGAAAGACTTAAAAAGAGTAGTGGAGGTCAGGACCGCAAGATGCTTCCCATTTAAAACTCTGAAGTGACATTGAAAGTTCAAAGGGTGTTTCTCAGGACTGAGGCCTGACCTATGCTGTCATCAATAACTTTCAATGCTAGAGAGTTCAGGAAACCATAGACTAGGACAGTTTCAACATTCATTGAGGCTATCAGGGGAAAAAAGGTGCATAAGAAATAATTAGCCCCTCTTTGAACTCGATTATTTAAAATTCATTTTTGATCACACATTCTTTTGATAAAATAATTTTATATGTAAATTCAAAATTTTTGCCTATTTTTTAACTACACATTTTCTAAAAATTCGCTATTACAAAATATATTTTCCCAAAAGATGGGGTCCAAACAAACTCCCTCAATGCCAAAGATTTGAAATTGTTTGGTCGTGCAACTATCTTAAACCTAACGAACCTCCTTGAAAAATTTTAACACAAATTTTTTTTTTCCGTTTTACAACCATACATTCCACCAACTTTTATTAAAATCTATTAAAAATATATGTTTCATCAAACACAAATATAAGTATTTAAATGAAGCGGTCAACATCGCATTATACAAGTCAAAAACTATGAGTTCAAGTTTCACTTGCCATGAATCAATGTAATAAAATTGCGAGCCTTCGATTAGAAAAAAATTAATTAACTTTGCTTGGATCATTTCACCATTCTGGAGAAACCTTCGAGTCCATATTTTATGGACGAAGAAAAAACGAAAGAATTTTGCTTTGTTAAGATTAAGCTCTAGCGCTAATTCTTCGAAAATCTCGGACCCATGAATACGAGTTTACGAGTGCGCGCACTAGATCATGCTATATTAGTCCTGGCCCCAATTACGAGTGGTGTTCATATCATGTCCTTAGTGCAGCTTGCTCTTTTATTGTGGTGGTCCGACTCTACCATTTCTGGAAATATGCAGATATTGATTTATCAGTTCAAATCAAATACACTGTTTAATTTCTATTTGGACAAATTGCAGCTTGCTCTATTATTGTAGTGGTCCGCCTGTAGAATTCCAGCAAATTTGCAGCTATTGCGTGACCACTTCAGATCAAATCCACGTTTAATTTCTATTTGTACATATGTCCTTAATCCCTATTCTTTAAATGGCATTGTTACTGTTTATAGTACGATTATAATTCAATATTTTATTGTTCAGCAGTAAGGGTAGATAAATCATTAGATCAAACCGGAACTAAATCGAATCGAGCGGTTTGGTTCGACTCTAAAAAAAAATAAAAAAATAAATTAATGGTTTGTATTCTTAGAATTGAATACCATTTGGAACCAAGAATTGAACTCAATTTTTATTATTTTCATATATGTTTTCTTTTAAGAAATCGGTGAATTACATCAAAAATTCAACTTTAAAAAATACAAGTATGAAATGGACAAAAATAAAGGTAATTTACCATTATATTTTACTTTATCACTTATCAGACAAAGTGGCCAAGCTCTTATCTAAATTCTAATTCATTTACCTCATTTTTGAATTTTAGATACAACTCCGCTCCTACACCATAGTTACCATTACATTTGTTGAATGTTTTATGTTTTATTTTATTTTTATATTTTTGTTTTTTTTTTCCGGTTAGATATATATTACTAAATTACGGATAGGGTTGGATATGGATTGGGTTGGGTTGATTTTTTATCCAA